TAAAATACCAGGGCAGGTGTGCCCTGCATTTGATCGGTGTACACATATGTACAAATCCAATTATATTTTACAGAAAACTCACAGAAGAATATTACTTGTGTTTCACTTGACTCAATTGTGAAAAATCGTAGCTTCGTTAGAATTCGAAACCACATCGGCAGGAAGGCTTTAATATAGCTAACGCTAAACCAAAGGAGATACCAAGGCAGACCGAGCGCCGAGAATTTAATTACACGAGGGTCGATTTACACGCCCAGTCTAATGCACGTATTGAATCCACCAATACGATGCAGTAAGCTGACTGCACAAGCAGGATTTTCTAAGCAATCAATCTAGAATCCAGCAAATGATTAGCAGGCACACTTAATTATTAGGGAAATAATTGGACCATTAGATGATTGCTTGGGAAATCCTGCTTGGGCAGTCAGCTTGCTGCATCGTATCGCTGCTTAACGTATCTCTAATGGCGAATTGCATACGTGCAGTAGGCTGGACGGGCAAATAGACGCAAGCATGATTAAATTCAAGGCCTTCGGCGTACCTGTCGCAGGGGTTAAGTAAGTTAAACCCTAGCAACTGTGATCTTCAGACCATGGTTAGTTAGTAGAAAAGAAATCAGTAGTAGGAGCAGTACATTGTGTACACAGAGGAAAGGAGAATTGATGAAAGAAGATTTGACTTGGAGAGCATGCGACTAGCCAGGAAAGCCATCCGCTTCCAAGTGCTGATTTGACAGCAGTCAGGCCAGTAGGCAGAGAGAGCAATTCACGTGTGCAGGCTTGCTATTCGTCGCCGGCCCAGTAAGGGATTGGCTGATCCAGGCGTCGAGAACCGCAGTCGTGAGCTTCTAGCGAAGTTCACTTCGATTCGAGCTGGTCACATAACGCCTCCGTAATTAATTGGCAGCGTTCTGGCTGTACCATAGCTTTCCCTGCTGATGTGGGTTCGACTCCCCTCGAGGCAATGGATTTTTCACAATTGACTCAATCAGATTATCTAAATCTCCCAAACCCTTCCTAATAATTCTTTGTATTTATTTAGTAGCAAATTACGTCTGCTCCAGATTGTATACTTAGAAACAAACAAACAACTCAACTACATTTTTCCACTTTTCACTTCTACAAATTTTCATCACTGACTATTCTATTTCTGCACTCCCTCCCCCAAACCCCTATAACCACCAGTTCCGTAGGACGAAATGCTGGGACTAGGGGTATATGAGGTGCCCTACTTAAACTTCTTTTGTCTTAGAAAGTATGCTCTTTGCAAAAGCACGCTTAGCTCATCTCAA